CTACGACGAGGCGGAAATCGCCTAGATTCTTTTCTCGATGCCTGCAACGGGCTGGCAAACCCCCGAGGCGCTCAAGTAGCGTTTAGGGTGGGAAACCGGTGCGATGCTTGCGACGATTTAAGGATCCCTCTTTAAAGCTTGCAACGAGCCGGCAAACCCCTGAGGCGCTCAAGTAGCGTTTAGGGTGGGAAGCCGGTGCGATGCTTGCGACGATTTAAGGATCCCTCTTTAAAGCTTGCAATGAGCCGGCAAACCCCTGAGGCGCTCAAGTAGCGTTTAGGGTGGGAAACCGGTGCGACGCTTGCGGCGAAGGGGATAAAAAAATGTGTTCTTTATTTTTATATAAGTACCCTCGAACGCCCACGTGGTGCAGAGGGGGGAAATCTGCTTTTTCTGACTCGTGCTCCACACCCTTAAACGCTCACGTAGCGGGCGGGGATTTTTTTTGATAAAATATGCGACCGCGGTGTCACTTTTGACATCTACCTGAAGCGCTCACGTAGCGTCGAGGGGAAGGTTGCCTCTTGGTTTTTCCCCTAAACGGGGGAGACGCTGGGAGGCTGCCGAAATTCAGACTGAAGGCACCGTGGACTTTAACAGAATTTTGGCCTATATGTGAACAAATTTTGGATAGAAGAGAACATGAGCCTGCATTCAAATGAACATGAACAGTGAACTGTAGATTTGTGGACTTGACTCAGAACAAAGATCAAAATGATTTCTAAAATTCAAATCCAAATAAAATCAAGCCAAAACTGAAGATCAAATTCAAATGAAATGAAATCAAATTGGGACCAAAATCGAATAATTTGAACATTCAATTGAACTCAAAGGACCGCAGGGGACTTGAACAAGACTATAACATCAAACAAAGACTTTGATTTGGATTAGATCCGGATCCGTACAGAAGACTTGAACTTGTGCTCTGGACTTGGACATTAATGGCTTGAGCAACTCGAACTCAAGCAAGTACTTAAGTCGGACTACAGAGGACATAGAACTGAGCTTGCACATCAAACTCATGAACCTGATTTAAATTGATTCTGAAAGGACTTGAACTTGAGCCTGGTTTGAGCATCATTGCCCTCTTACATTCGACGCCAATCAAGCTACAACACCTTTTATTGATGTATTCAGTGTAGCGCCCAACGAATTTAAATGCCCGCTAGTGCCAGCAATCATTCGATCGAGGACAAATACATAGAGCCCGTGCAAGCAGAACATGATTGATTGGCACATTAAGTGCAAGTACAATCCAACCACCCGAGATTGGTGAAAGGGTGGGTAAGATGCGGAAATAATAGGTCTGCTGCAAATACACTCAGGAGGTCGTAACGGATATAATGGTCCTCCGCCAGCGAATACAAGTCACTTGTGGATAACAACAGTGTGTATGTCGTATGCACAACGAACCACTGTGGACACAAGTACATCTCCTACGACAACCCCTACAAACGCCTGTTGATTGAGAAGGCGATGTTGGAGATCAATCGTCAAAGAGCCGCCCCTTGCAAGCAAGTACAATCAAACCACCCGAGATCGGTGAAAGGGTGGATATGATGCAAGAAACAAGGGTCTCCTACGAACATTCCTAGCAGCTCTTAGCAACACAACGGATCCTTACAAATAAATACGAGCCGCTTGTGGATAACAACAATGGGTATATCGTAAGTACAACGAACCACTGTGGACACAAGTATGGATCCCTGCAAATGGATACTTGTGGATAACAATAATAGGTGTATCGTAGGTACAACAAACCACTGTGGGCACAAGTATTGATATCACCTACGACATTGGTGATCAAGATCTTCAAGCTTTTCGGGTACAAGGGCGACTCGATGTACAAAAGGTACACTCCCTGACAAAATCAAAAAGGAAGTTTGAACGAATTAGAACCAAACTTCCTGGTGTTCCAAAGTCTCTTCTTAGTTCTATATTTAAGAAGAAAACAGCTCTGGTACCCACAAATACTGGAAATAACAAGTCTGTTACGCCGAAGAGCCTAAAAGGAGTTCTTTCAAAATCAGCAGTCTTTGACTCCAAAATCCAGAAAGTCCTTCCCCGGTGATTGAGAAAGGGGGGGTCAACATCAAAACGTAACGCCACCGGATCTGCAACACTGATACAAGCAGACAGAAGGCGTCTACAATGTTCATACTCGGCCTTTAAGGCCTTCAACAAAGAAAATTCATGAACAAAGGCATGAAGCCTACAGAACCTGATCATTCTATGCGGATCAATAGGAGTCGACAGGGTTCGAACTATCATAGATACACGGTTGAGGGGACCGATGTATTTGTCTCAATACATTCATATTAGGCCTTCAAAGCTTAAAATCAAAAGAATTCACTGAAAGGCACGAAGCCTATGAGAAGCCCGATCCTCCTAAGCAAGCAAATAGGAGTAGACAGGGCTCGAATCATTGGATAAATATGCAGTCACGAAGTCGACTGGAATATTTATTTCAATACATTCATATTCGGCATTCAAGGCCTGAAATCAAGAAAATCCATCCGCCCTCCGCAACAGTTTGTCGAGGCGGACAAATTTAAATAAACTCTAGCTCACAAAGAGCTAATGCCTAGTCGAAAATATCACTAGGATCCATTCTCAAACAATATCTTGCTAGTAAGGACGTGGTACGTGTCCTCTAACCGGCGGTTTTGCCGCCAAATGGCACCGCAGGATAAACGGTTATGACGACCCGGGGCCCTCTGAACCGAGTGGTTTTGCCGCCAAATGGCACCACGATATAGCGGTTATGACCAGAGCCAATGCGCTCCTTATTGGCATCAAATCCTTGGGATATGAGTCAATAGGATATGATCGATAGGGCACAAAGCCCTCTGTTAGCTAAGGTGGATTGAAATTTGTCCCCTTAGGCAAATACCCATCCCAGGTCTACAAGGTCCCCTTGGACGAAGCAACCCATGGCTGCCGACAAGGATCCTTCTGTCAGGTTGGGTCGACTACCTCCTTTGACTAAGTAGACCAAGGACCACGATGGCCCGGGACGACGGAACCATGGGATCTTGATCGGGCCCATCATCCATTCCCCAACCATCCGCTTTAAGTGCAAGATGGTGAAATTTCTATTTTAAATATCAAATCTTTCCAAATTCCCAAATCCAAATCCAGTTTTCAAATTCAAACCCTTGCTGCTACTATATGCCAGATAACACGTATCTCTACGTATCTGATCGACGACTAGCCTTAATCGAAAGTTCTCTCTCGTGATCGGGAGGGGTAATTAACTATAGGGGCTTGCGCCTATAGGAAACCAGAACTCAGATCATAAAGTCCTCGCAACATGAGGGCGAAATCTCTGGGTAGTGTCTTATCTACAAACCCATTTGCCTTCCAAAATTTACCCCGGAACCTATTCCATTAAAACTCCCCTCGCACAAAACAAGAAAAGAAACCGCGCGGCGGGGAGGCCGGGGCCGAATTTTTGGAGCCCACAGTGATATGTTAAATAAATGTTTTGTAATTCTTTTTTTGGATTTAGGTTGCTAGTCTTGTTTCCAAATGAACTTAAGACCAAAGAAACCCGAGTGTTTTTTGTGATCCATGGGAAGAAAAATTGTGGTGGTAATTGGTTGCAAAGAGAAATAATGATACAGATAAGGCTGTAGTGATGAATGCTACGAATAAGAAGATTATGTGGTATGGAAAGAAACCCGCAACAATGAAGGTTTGCAAGTTCTATGCAATGTAGTGATGAATGCTGTGGTTTATAAAATTGCTAAGAAAGAAAAAAAAAATCCTAGGGCTCTAAAACTATTACATGAATTTGGAAGAATTAGCTGATTATTTTCATCCAATATTTATGCAGTATTTATATAATCTTAAGAGAGTTTCTAAGTAGGAAATATATAAAACCCAATTATAATAATTATAAAATAATTACAATAGTTCATGAATTTATGTGGTGGCGGAATAATTATTACAATAGTTTACTGATTGATGAAGGTATACTAATAATCTCATGGTTCATTGAGGTGGCATGAGGCGAATAAGGGATGTTCAAGATTGTTGGCTCAGTGAAACATTGATGAAGTTATTATTGGTGGAGGCGGAATTTATTAATGTGGATTTGATAGATTTTTATTTTTCCACATATTACTTGGTTAGTCTTTGCAAAATTTAAGTTTGTTGATCTCCTCATAGCTACCAATTCCATCTAATCTATCAATTGTCACAGTCGCTACCATCCTCTTTCACTTCCATCTCTGCCAGTAACTCGTTCCCCATCGTCCTCCTATTTCCTCAATTACTGTTGTTCAACTAAAACCTCACCTCCTAACAACAAGAGAATGATTTGTTAAGAATTGTTTGTATGATGGTAGCGGCAGTTTCATCTGAATGGTGTCTCAAGATTCTGTGAAGGCTAAAATTCATTTATGGGAGAATATTAAGGTCCCTGTGCTATGGGTTCTTATTTTGTAAGTATGAGATTAGAGTCCCTCATGGAATAATAATGGACTCAAATTGATCTTTTCGTTCTTGTACCTTTATGGTTTTACTTCAGCATATGATGTGGGTATAATATGAACTTGATTCGTTGATCCATATGAATATTTACATGTGTATGCTTAAGATTTGTTGTGTCTATATTATTAAGGTCTTTAGTATATGACTTTTGGTATGACTGCTGGCATGTTATTACCAGCAGTATTGGCATCTTTATGCATGAGTTGTTGTATCGCTCTGTTCATATTGGTGTCCTGTGTTCAAGTTCATACTTAGTGTAGGGACCATATCTGCATTGAAGTTCAAGCAGTTGCCAGAATTTCTGATAGGAGTATGGTTATGAGAACTTATTAGACACCATAGCGACCAAGCCATGATCATATTCATGTCTTGCTTGGGTAAAAAAAATATTGTTAACATTCACTGCTTGAGAGTTGTGTCCACTCTGGTTCTTTTGCTCCTTTTTGTCTCCTATGATTTATAGCCTCATGAATTGTTTATTCTTAAATTGTTAAATATTGCAGTCAAGTTTTCAGGCTGGAAATTTTCTTCGGTTCTCTGTCATTGATGAATGTGTGAGAATTGTTGATGGTAAGCTGGAGTTGGGAGACCTTAAATTTGTTGGCAAAGCAAACCGGGCACGTGCTTTTGCAGATAGCTACTCAAAGGTTCGTTATGAGTGAAATCTTTGGGCTTCCAGACTTTCTTTTTGCGTAAACAATAAATAAAACATCTTCTATTTCATATTTTTATTTCTTCTATGTTGTTTTATTAGTTGTAGATTTTAGATTCTATTTAGAAAATAGAAAAGAGAACTGTTTACACCTACATTGAACCCACATTGTTAGCCTGAAGGCTAGGGGATATTTAGTATACATAGTTTGATCATTTTTAGCATCTCAAATTCAAAACCTAACTTTGAGATTTTGGTTTCCTTGTCCTATATTATGAAAGATCAAAGTATTCTCATCAGAGAAAGATTTGTATTATAACCCCACCATTTTGTATAAGAATGAAGATGAAGCTCTAGGCTGTGTTTGGGACGGCAGTAAAAATGCCGTCCCAACTGAAGCCCTAGTCTCTACATAAGTTGATATATAATTTGTATATCTATGATTTATTATGATGAATTTCCCATAAGAAAATGACTATTAAGATATCATCGATATAAATAAATATACAAAATATACAATCACAATTTTATAAAAAATATATTATTACAATTTATTTTTCTTAAATGAATCAATGAATTATAAATTAAAAAGTACTAAGTGAGTAATAAACCCCCACTATAGACTTGTGAAATTTAATTTAAGGTTTTGTTCATTTGAGTTTGATTGTATCATAACTCTACAGTTTGAATATGGTTTATCATTCGTTGGGCTGAAGAGGATAAAAGGAAAACAAGAAGTGAAAACCATTGTTACAATTTCACTCAAGCAACCAACTCTACCTTTGGTATTCCCCTTCTTGTGGTTAAGTTAAAGATTTATGGCACAACAATTAATAAAATTTTTCAATTCTTTATACACTAAGAGATTTCAATTTTGTACTAGCCGATGCTAATGGATTTGGGTGTCACCTAAGATTTAAGGGACATTATGATATGTAATTCCAACACTTCGTTGTAAATCGACACAATTAAATTATCATCGAGGCTAAAGCTTGAATGTTCTCCAAAGGCTAAAGCTTGTATGTTTTTCAATGACATAAAGCTGTAAGTGGTGAATCATGCAGTATATTTAATTTGGTAAAAAATTCTTTGTTAGCAAAGATAAAATTAAAATTATCCTTTTAAACAAACATCTCCCCTATCTCTACAATTTCTCATTGGATGATATGACCCAAGGCTGTCGATAAGGACCTTTAGGTTAGGTTAAGTTGACTACTTCTACTAAGTGTACTAGGGTGCATGATAGCCCGGTATTATAGAACCATGAATTCCCCACCTCCACTGCACTCTCCTACCATCTTCTTTAAACTAAAGGCAGTATATGTTTTCTCCATCACAAATCAAAACTACTATTTTAAGGTATGCATGTAGTGCTTACTAGCTAGCCTTAATCGAAAGTGCACTTTTATGACTATGAGTGATAATTAACTATAATAATGCTTGCGTCTATAGGAAACTTAGAGCTATAGGTCATAAAATCCTCTCAAAATGACGTGAAATTTCCGAGTTGTTTCTTATCTACAATCCAATTTATCTTATGAAAAATTCAACCTGATTAAAACATTTTAGAAGAGCCGAGCATGAATTTTTGATTTCCATAAGGTTTCTTTTTTGTTGGTTTACCAAACAACCTAGTCTATGATGTTGACTTGTACAAAATTCATTCATTGTTTTCATTACAACAAATTTTTTAATCAGTAAACTAGTTAGGCATTGGAGCAATTTTACCCTTTGTGAATTTCCTAACTTCAGGTTTTTTCCCAATCTTGAAGAATGACTATTTTTCCTTATTGGGGATTTGTTGGGTGGGGATGCGACTGATTTCAACAATTTAGACAAAATTTGTGATTAGAAGCCCTTCTTTCAAATTTATCATCACTCTGTCCTTAATCTATTTATCTTTTTTTTTTTGGAGAAAAAGTATTCTATTTTATTTTTGAATCAAATAATATTCGTACAATAGGAAAGTTTAAAAGAATGGCTAGGTTGTTCAAACTTTTTTTTTTCTTTTGAATTCTTGAAACAATACTTCCCCTTGTTGAATCTTAATGATTAATTTCCTTTTTAAAGTCCATCTCTGGATTGCATTCAGAGAACGCACATGATTATAAGTGAATCCTGATTATAGTTTACACGTAATAATAAGAAGGCCTAAAGTAGGGACATCTTATGCTTTATTTTAAAAAGTACATGAATCTATATTGAGATTATTGCCATGATTTGTGTGATATCTAAGAGTAAATGCTCTTACCTGAACTCAAGCGTCTTGAGCCTTGTCTGACTATTGCCAAGGTAAACCAACTTATGGCATTAATATGACTATCATTTCATGCAGGATAGATAGCCTTGAAAAAATGATAGGGAAAATCTTTATTGGTCTGCTTTGTTATAGTTTTTATCATTACTGTTTCTACAGGTATTCTTCCAGTACACAGCTCGTCACTCTCCTCTCCAATTCCAGGATCTTATAGCTTCCCTCGACCCAAATCTTGATGAAAACTCTGAAAGCAATGACATGGAGATGATTGACTGATCGGAAACTGTTATACTCCAAGAATGATAGCCTCAAGTTTTCCACATTCCCTGTTAGCAGTTCCAATCTTTGGTCACGAGAACGGGCTACTTTTATAACTAATTAATCTCCATTTATCAGCAAATGGTGTATTTGGAGGCTGTCAGGGAGCTTATGTTTGTCATGGTAGGAAATTTTGTCTAAGCATGCTATTATTGTTGAATAATTGCTTTTTTGTTCCTGAATAGCTTTTGCACTGTTTACATTGAATGAAGTCCTTAATATTTGCAGGGTTGTGTTCAAATTTAGGAGGTTCATCAACTTCTTTTTAACTGAGAAGGCCAAGAGGAGTTCAACAATTAGCTCTGTGACAGCCATCACAGGTGTACTGATTGATGTTCATGGGATGATGACATATAAACGAAAATATCTGCAGAAAAAAAAAAAGTATATGGATGTATGTATGTATGTATTTATAACTTATTTTAATAACTGATGTTAAATTCTTCAGTTAGCATTGGCTGGTTGCTTTTGTTGTAGAGCTCTGAAAATGTCTCCATGGTTGCTTTGTCGCCACTGAGGCAGTCATTACTGTAACCCAGAAGATTAGAGCTTATGTTGTTATGTTTATTTTACTGAATCAAATATGCTTGGTAAATTAAGAAGGAAATCTTTTTTTTTTTTTTCGGTTATAACAATAGAAAAGCTATTATAATTAAATAATTAGTTTATATAACAGAGGTCCCTGAACAGGTTCTCCTTAGTATGCGTCACACCATGCCTCATATGATGCCGTACAGCAGCTCCCGCGATAGCTTTGTGTGCTCTCTTTTAAGTAATAAAGATGATGGATAGGTTTCCAGCTCTGTTTATTGTCGAAAGCTGCAAGTTGTCCTGCCTAATGCACGATAAATATTAGTTTAAAAGGTACATTTGACTTTATATAGCAGTAATTGGTCAAATTGTTTGTTTATTTTTTAAATAATATATTTTAAAATTATTTTCTCACCAAATATCTTTTTTTTTTCCTCAGTTCATTAAAATTAGTCGTCTTTTGACACTTCACTCCATTGATTATTTTATCTTCATTTGTTTAAGAATTTTTGTTTCTTTAGGAGTCGACTGTTGATGTTGAAATTCAATTGGAGCAATGAGCTCAACAATGGTTTTGATAGACATTAATTTTTCTTAATGTGAATAATTGTGTATCATATGAATAGTTAGAGTTTTAACATGGAGTTAAACAGAGGATCAAAGAGGAATGTGTTCCATTCATGCTCAAACATGTGATCATATGTAAATATTTTTTGAATCATGTTCCGTTATGATATGTACAATGCTTAAATAAACGTAAACGCAACTGTGTGTTTACGTTTATTTAAGATTAGTACATATCTAACGAACGATGATTCAAAAAATATTTACATATGATCACATGTTTGAGCATGAATGGAACACATTCCTCTTTGTATCCTCTGTTTAACTCATGTTAAAAACTATCTAATATTCAGTTGATATACACAATTATTCACATAAGAAAAAATTAATGTCTATCAACCATTGTTGAGCTTCATTCTCCAATTGAATTTCAACATCAACAGTCGACTCCTAAAGAAAACAAAAATTCTTAAACAAATGAAGATAAAAATAATCAATGGAGTGAAGTGTTCAAAAGACGACTAATTTTAATGAACTGAGGAAAAAAAAGAAATATTTGGTGAGAAAATAATTTTAAAATAATATTATTTAAAAAATAAACAAACAATTTGACCAATTACTGCATTATAAAGTCAAATTTACCTTTTAAACTAATATTTATCGTGCATGGCAGGACAACTTGCAGCTTTCGACAATAAAACAGAGCTGGAAACCATCCATCATCTTATTACTTAAAGAGAGCACACAAAGCTATCGCGGGAGCTGCTGTTACGGCATCATATGAGGCATTGGTGTGACGCATACTAAGGGAGAACCTGTTTCTAGGGACTCTGTTTATATAAACTAATTATTTAATTATAATAGCTTTTCTATTGTTATAACAGAAAAAAAAAAAAGAAAGATTTCCTTCTTAATTTACCAAGCATATTTGATCAGTAAATAAACATAACTAACATAAGCTCTAATCTTCTGGGTTATCAGTAATGACTGCTCTCAGTGGCGACAAAGCAACCATGGAGACATTTTCAGAGCTCTACAACAAAAAGCAACCAGCCAACGCTAACTGAAGAATTTAACATCAGTTATTAAAATAAGTTATAAATACATACATACATACATACTATACTATTCTTTTTTTTTCTGCAGATATTTTCGTTTATATGTCATCATCCCATGAACATCAATCAGTACACCGTGATGGCTGTCACAGAGCTAATTGTTGAACTCTCTTGGCCTTCTCAGTTAAAAAGAAGTTGATGAACCTCCTAAATTTGAAACACACCCTGCAAATATTAAGGACTTCATTCAATGTATAACAGTGCAAAAGCTATTCAGGGAAAAAAAAAGCAATATTATCAACTATAATAGCATGCTTAGACAAATTTCCTACCATGACAAACATAAGCTCCCTGACAGCCTCCAAATACACATTTGCTGATAAATGGAGATTAATTAGTATTAAAAGTAGCCCGTTCTCGTGACCAAAATTGGAACTGCTAACAGGAATGTGGAAAACTTGAGGCTACATTCTTGGAGTATAACAGTTTCCGATCAGTCAATCATCTCCATGTCATTGCTTTCAGAGTTTTCATCAAGATTTGGTCGAGGGAAGCTATATAGATCCTGGAATTGGAGAGGAGAGTGACGAGCTGTGTACTGGAAGAATACCTGTAGAAACAGTAATGATAAAAACTATAACAAAGCAGACCAATAAAGATTTTCCTATCATTTTTTTTCAAAGGCTATTCTATCCTGCATGAAATGATAGTCATATTAATGCCATAAGTTGGTTTACCTGGCAATAGTCAACAGGCTCAGAGACGCTTGAGTTCAGGTAAGAGCATTTACTCTTAGATATCACACAAATCATGGCAATAATCTCAATATAGATTCATGTACATTTTTTAAAATAAAGCATAAGATGTCCCTACTTTAGGCCTTCTTATTATTACGTGTAAACTATAATCAGGATCATTTATAATCATTGCGTTCTCTGAATGCAATCCAGAGATGGACTTTAAAAAGGAAAATTAATCATTAAGATTCAACAAGGGGAAGTATTGTTTCAAGAATTCAAAAGAAAAAAAAAGTTTGAACAACCTAGCCATTCTTTTAAACTTTCCTATTGTACGAATATTATTTGATTCAAAATAAAAAATAGAATACTTTTTTCTTCCAAAAAAAAAAAGATAATAGATTAAGGACAGAGTGATGATAAATTTGAAAGAAGGGCTTCTAATCACAAATTTTGTCTAAATTGTTGAAATCAGTCGCATCCCCACCCAACAAATCCCCAATAGGAAAAATAGTCATTCTTTCAAGATTGGGAAAAAACCTGAAGTTAGGAAATTCACAAAGGGTAAAATTGCTCCCAATGCCTAACTAGTTTACTGATAAAAAATTTGTTGTAATGAAAACAATGAATGAATTTTGTACAAGTCAACATCATAGACTAGGTTGTTTGGTAAACCAACAAAAAAGAAACCTTATGGAAATCAAAAATTCATGCTCGGCTCTTCTAAAAATGTTTTAATCAGGTTGAATTTTCATAAGATAAATTGGATTGTAGATAAGAAACAACTTCGGAAATTTCACGTCATTTTGAGAGGATTTATGACCTATAGCTCTAAGTTTCCTATAGACAGCAAGCCTTATTATATTTAATTATACCTCATAGTCATAAAAGTGCACTTTCGATTAAGGCTAGCTAGTAAGCACTACATGCATATCTTAAAATAGTAGTTTTGATTTGTGATGGAGAAAACATATACTGCCTTTAGTTTAAAGAAGATGGTAGGAGAGTGCAGTGGAGGTGGGGAATTCATGTTCTATAATACCGGGCTATCATGCCCACCCTAGTACACTTAGTAGAAAGTAGTCAACTTAACCTAACCAAAGGTCCTTATCGACAGCCTTGGGTCATATCATCCAATGGAAATTGTAGAGATAGGGGAGATGTTTGTTTAAAAGGATAATTTTAATTTTATCTTTGCTAACAAAGAATTTTTTACCAAATTAAATATACTGCATGATCACCACTTACAGCTTTATGTCATTGGAAAACATACAAGCTTTAGCCTTTGGAGAACATTCAAGCTTTAGCCTCGATGATAATTTAATTGTGTCGATTTACAACGAAGTGTTGGAATTACATATCATAATGTCCCTTAAATCTTAGGTGACACCCAAATCCATTAGCATCGGCTAGTACAAAATTGAAATCTCTATTAGTGTATAAAGAATTGAAAAATTTTATTAATTGTTGTGCCATAAATCTTTAACTTAACCACAAGAAGGGAATGCCAAAGGTAGATTGGTTGCTTGAGTGAAATTGTAACAATGGTTTTCACTTCTTGTTTTCCTTTTATCCTCTTCAGCCCAACGAATGATAAACCATATTCAAACTGTAGAGTTATGATACAATCAAACTCAAATGACAAAACCTTAAATTAAATTTCACAAGTCTATAGTGGGGGTTTATTACTCACTTAGTACTTTTTAATTTATAATTCATTGATTCATTTAAGATAAATTGTAATAATATATTTTTTATAAAATTGTGATTGTATATTTTGTATATTTATTTATATCGATGATATCTTAATAGTCATTTTCTATGTGGGAAATTCATCATAAATAAATCATAGATATACAAAATTATATATCAACTTATGTAGAGACTAAGGGCTTCAGTTGGGAACGGCATTTTTACTGCCGTCCCAAACACAGCCTAGAGCTTCATCTTCATTCTTATACAAAATGGTGGGGTGTATAATACAAATTCTTTCTCTGATGAGAATACTTTGATTCTTTCATAATATAGGAGAAGGAAACCAAAATCTCAAAGTTCGGTTT